GAGATTGCAAATACCTAGATAGCTGGAACCATATCTTCTCCCTTCTTTTGGATCCTCTAGAGTACCCAGTCCAAGCCCAGGCCCTTAGTAAATCCTTAATGAGTTCTTGCTGAATTGAACTGCAAGGAGATCGTCAGCAATATAATAGGACACAGCACAGTATAGTGGAAAGAGCACTGATTTTGGAGTTGGAAGACCTAAATTCAGATCCCAGCTCAATCATTTCCTACCTTCAGGACCTTGGACAAGTCATTGACCTTCTGTATGCCTCGGTTACCTCAACTGTACGATAACAAGGTTGGTTTAGCTGACTTCTAAGGTTCTTTCTAACTCTAAATCAATGAAGCTATAGAATTATGCTAGGAAAATAAAAAATTCATTCCTTCAGGGCACTTGTGCAGCTAATAATCTCTTCTTCAAAATTTGTGAATTGATTTGCAAACTTAAAGCACTATGCTGTTGCTGCTGCTGCTGCTGCTGCTGCTATTAACTTCAGGCTAGTGATGCATTTTTGTAAACTTCCCAAACCCATTTTTTAGAGATGGAGAGGAGAGCTTGTTCAGGTATTGGTTGAACTACTAGATGACCTCTGAGGGTCAAGATTTTAGGATGTTGTGAATGCTCTGTCCTCCAATTGAGATCCTTTGTTGGTGCTGTCCCTTGTGCCCCCTTTCTCCCTTAGTATGCTTATCCATCTGCTGTTCCTTAAAGTCCACACCTCTGGCCATCAATTACTGCTGTTGGTAAGCCCAGTGAATTATTATGCTCCTCTGCCACCAAAGATGTTACTTCTACGGGGAGCATCTGGCAACATCTTTAATTTTATCTAGTTTCTTCTGTCTCTGAGCAACATCCTGAAGGGAGCAGCTGGCACCAGAGATGGGTAGATAGACTATAAAGAAAAGGGTTTTGGTTTGCCCTTGAATTCTTTAGACTAAGCTTTCCCTCATGCTTTGGGGTGAGAGGGCTCAAAAGGGAACTTTATAGGGGGCAATTAGGGTGTATTACAGATAACACAATACTGTTGTTGATTACTAGTCATGAAGGGAATGCCAGAGTTTCAGAGGTTAAAGGGACTTCAGGCCATTGTATAACCCAGACCTGAACTAGAATCTTCTTTACAATATCCCAAATATCTATCCAGCCCCCTGCTTGAAGACCTCCCATTCCACTTCTAAATAACGCTTATGAAATCTTTCTCTCTCTCTCTCTCTCTCTCTCTCTCTCTCTCTCTCTCTCTCTCTCTCTCTCTCTCTCTCTCTCTCTCTCTCTCTCTCTCTCTCTCTCTCTCTCTCTCTTTCTCTTTCTCTTTTCCTTCTCTCTTCCTACCTTTCCTCTCTCTTTCCCTCCTTCCCTCCCTCCCTTTCTCTCTCCCTCCCTTTCTCCCTTCCTGTCTTTATTCTGTGCTTTACAAATATTATTTCATTTGATTCTCACAACAACCTTGGAAGGTAGATTGCTATTATTACCCATATATTACAGATGAAGAAACTGAGGCAAACATATACTAAATTACCTGCGCCTAGGGTTACACAGCTAGTAAGTGACTGTGTTCAGATTTGAACCAAGCTCTTCCTAATTCCAGATCAGCACTCTATCCACTGCACCACTTAGCTGTTCAGTATTAATATCCTTTCAATCAACAGGCATTTATTAAGTGTTTACATGCTAGGCCCTGGGCTAAGTGACCAGGACGCAAAGAAAGGCAAAAACAGTCAATGTCTTCAAGGGGTTTACATTCTAATGGGACAGACATATACATAAATGGAGCCATATCCATATATCCATAAATGAATACATAAAGAGTAAATGGAAGGTGACTAGCAGGGAGAGCTTTAGCTCTCAGAAGGGCTGGCTCAGGGAAAGCATCCTATACTTAGTATCTGTCTGACTTTGGGCAGATAACTTTCCTTGTACTGTGCCCACAGACTCTGGGATTTCTATCCAGAGGGAAGCTAAGAAACTGTGGTCTGATGCCTTCATTTTATAAATAGGGGAGGCCAAGAGTCAGACAGGTAGTACGTATAGGTGTATAGGTGACATTTGAGCTGAATCTAGGAGTTCAGGGATTCTATAAGGCAGAGATGAGGAAGACAAGGAGTAAGAGAATCAAGCCTAAAATTTGTCTTTGCCACTTGTACCTGTTGCTCCAAATTCTACCCTATGTCCAAACAGAACAGGTCTAGGGCATCTGCCACATGTACCCTATTCAAATAATGGAAGATAAGCATTGGAACTGAACCTGTGGCTTCCTTGATACAGGGAATTCTCAGGTGAGGAGCTCTCCCATTAGTGACTTCCTTCTATGGCTGCCTCCAATTTATTCTTTATGTATCACATTTGCACAGAGTTGTTTACATGTTTCCCATCCCCTCCTGGATCGTGAGCTCCTTGAGGGCAGGGACTGTCTTTTGCCATTCTTTGTATTCCTAGTGCTTAACACAGTGCCTGACACATAGTAGGCACTTAACAAATGCTTATTGATTAATTAATTGACTTGACCTCCTTTGCAACTAATAGTCTTAAACAGTTGCCTAGATCACTGAGAGGTTAAGTGACTTGCCCTGGGTGATACAGAATATATACCAGAGGTAAATCTTGAACACAAGTCTTCCTGATTTTAAGGCTAGCTAGCTATTCACTGAGCCGTACTGCCTCTTCTATTTCACCTACATCTTCTTTTTTCCAGGGTAGAAACACCAGATAGTATGGTCTCCAGGGCAGCAACACTGACAAACAAATCAGTTATAAACTTCCCACTGCTTGATGCCCCCTTAATTATTAACAGCTACTTTCCCAACATGGTGTAGTGAAAAAAAGCACTGGACTTAGAGTCAGAGACCTGGATTCACGTTCTGACTGTGCAACCTATGAACTGTGTGACCTTGGCCAAGTCACTTCTCTTTATTTGAGTCCTTAGTTCCTCCTCTATACAGAAAGATTTGGATTAGATTATTCCTAAAGTTCTTCCAAGCAAGTCCCAATGTTGCATTTTAAACAATGGGTAGCCAGTTAAAGTGTGTGCTATGAATGAAATATGGGAATGTTTTCAGTTTGCAAAATGTGTCACAATGGCAAACAAAAATCAAGGGGGGAAGCAAAGGGCCAGGGATGCTGTAGGAATGGGAAGATCAGCAGCTGCAAATCTAAGGTATGCATTTTATTCTACTGATATGGAAAAAACCTGTCAGGCAATTTGAGTAATGTTAGGTGGTGATGTGAAAATGAGTAATAAATTATTGCTTAAACCTTTGTAATAATTACTTGGTTGGTAATAAAAGCAATTTTTAAAATATCTCTTGTAAAGTTACTTTTTGAATAACCTTCATTGTTTTCTGGTTGGTTTCAAAAACTGAATTGTAGAAGAAATCTTTGTTTTGTTTTTGCTGTTCCATAAGATGGGATGTTGGACCGGTATCCAACATCTCTTCTCATTCTCAGCCACATCAAAAGATTTTTTTATTTGGGTAGATCTGAAATCTTTATAATTTTCATACTGATGATGTTCTTTGAAATCCAGGTCCCTTCACCTAAATATATCATTGGCCATCACAAAATCAGAGTTGAATGAAGCCTCATTAGTCCAACCTGCACCAAATAGAAATCTCTTCTACACCAACACTTGAGATGTGATGAGTCAGTCAATCAGCATTTTTAAGCACCTACTGTGTGCAATGGACTGTGCCAAATACTAGGGAGACAAAGGAAGGCAAAAGGCAGTGCTTGTTCCCAAGGGGCTCACGGTCTGATTGGGTAGACAATGCAAACAACTCTGTACTAACAAGGATGATTTGGAAGGCACCAGCTTTAGTGGAAATCAGAAAACACTTCTTGCAGAAGGCAGGGCTTTAGCTAAGCCCTCAAAGAAGGAAATCAGGGCATCTACAATGTAAATATGAGGAGGAAGAGCATTCTTGGTATGAGAGATCATCTAGCCTTTGATTGAAGGCGTCTGGTCAGCAGGAACCCATTATTCCACCATAGACTGATACCTATCTTTGTACTTTATCAGTCATCTCTTATGTCCTATATCTCTGTTTCCTAATAACCCTTCCATTTTTGCCTTATGCTATATCTGGTCAATGGAAAACACATTTTTAAAAGAGTGAGTATATACCATATTCCATGGGTGGAAATTTGTTCATTGAAAAATCTTGGAATGGCCAAATGGGCCTGCCCACATGGGAAATTTCTTAAGGTCTTTCAAAAACCACCTGCATTTCCAAAATAGATAACAATAATCACCCCTATCTTGAGCTTAGAAAATCAAATCCATTAGAAGATATCTGTGAGTTAGGCAGGCTTTGATAACTTTACTATGCTGATTTCAAAAACCACTGGAACAGGCTTATCTATCTATGCATGTATTTCAGGTGTGGTTCCTAAATTATAGAAAACATAGTCTAATTGACTGACAATTTAAAAAAAATTGTTGAACTGCTTTAGTGTTATGGATAGGCAGTGATAGCCAGTAATGTCCTTGGATAAGTTACTTAACTTTTCTGGCTTCCATTTTATTTATTTGTAAAATGAAGGGAGATTAGATTGGATGACCTCTAAGGTCCATTCCAGCTCTAAATCCATAATTTTATCCTGTTAGGATCAGTGAGAGAAGGCACTTGGAGAGAGAGAAGAGGGAGGACTTACAAACAAAAAGGATATGAAGATATGAACCCTCGTACCACAAAGGAGCTTAATATCTAGTCAATAGAGATAGGATGAAACTATGTGAATTAGATATCAGAACATACACAGAAATGTACAGGGCAAACAGAAATTCACATTCTCATCACCAGAGAATCATGTGAATCCGTCATCTTTATGATTTCACAAATCAGTCTTAGAAAATTCAGAATTGAATCTAGGCAAAAATAGTTCAGTATCAACTTTTGAAGAAGGTCTAGTGGAAAGAAAAGATCTGTGTCCCAGAAATCTGTGATCAATGATGTAAATAAAGGCATCCATGGCAAGCATATGATGTCACAAAACCCAGAAGAATAGCAACAAGTTGGATGATAGAGTCAGGATCCAGCAAGATCACCGGGCTAAATTTAATAAGGTAAACTACTACAACATGGGTCAATATTGTCTTGAACCTGGGTTCAAACATTAACTTCACAAATTCAAGATGGGGAGACATGGTTAGATGACAGTTCAACTGAAAAAAAGAACTGAGAATTTTAGTGGCCTTCAATCTCAATAAGAATCAAGAGTGTGATGTGGTAGCCTAAAAAGCAAATGTGACTTTAGACTAGGTTGGGAGAGTCCTGGTATCCAGGACAAGGTTGGTGATAATGCCACTAGATTCTGCCTTGGTCATATGCCATCAGAAGTACTGTGCTTAGTTCTAGGTGTCACATTGTCTAGGTCATGCTATATGAAGGTCAGTTGTAGGATTCTGAGATTGTCTGGAGAAGAGACAACTTGGGGGAGTGGTCATTATAACTGTTTTCATGCACTCCAAGGTCTGTCAAATGGAAGAGGGATTAGATTTGTTCCATTCTGTCACTGATTAGGTGAGTTGTAAAGAAACAAAGTTCGGACTAAGGTATGGAGAACTTTCCTAACCAGTGTAGCTGACCAAAAGTAGAATGGGCTGACTTGGAAGGCAGTGGGTTCCCATTCACTGGGAGTTTTCAGGCAAAAGCATGGTAACCATTTGCTAAGTATGGAATTGAGGGGATTTTTGTTCAGTTATGGTTTGGATTAGATGGCCTCTGAGGGCCCTTCCAAGTCTGTGATTTTGTGATTCCACGAGTCTGTAAGGTCACCATTTTTTGGTCTAGCAAAAAGGACTTGAGCTGGGCCTTGAAAAATGGCTAGGATTTCAATAGACAGACAATGATAAATTTGATGCAGATGAATAATTTTCAAAGCATGAGTAAGCTTTTTCCTTCCTATCCTAAATGATTATTTTCTTTGGTTCCCCTATTGTTACTTACAGTGGAAAGAATGCTGGACTAGGAGTCAGTAGACCTAGGTCTGGTCCTTCCCCTTGCCCCTAAAACACTGTAACATGGGGTAAGTCACTTCAGGGCCCCGAGTCTCAGGTTTCCTTCTCTTTAAAATGGAGAGAATGACCTCTGCCCTCTCTCCCTCTCAGGATTGTTATGAAATTAAAGGAGGCAGTAGACGTGGCAGCTGTGGTGTATAGAAAGCTGGTCTTGGATCCAAGAAGACTGCTTTAGGGAACTCTCTAAGACTATGAGATGTAAAGGAGGTGCCTACTTTCATTCACAGGGAGAGTTCTCCATTATCACTGAAATCACTGATTCTATCCTTTTGTTGTTCAGTCTTTTTTCAGTCCTATCCTGATTCTTTGGAACCCCATTCGGTGTTTTCTTGGCAAAGATACTGGAGTGATTTGCCCTTCCTTCTCTAGCTCATTTTACTGATGAAGAAACTGAAGCAAACAGGGTCAAGTGACTTTCCCAGGGTCATACAGTCATTAAGTATCTGAGACCAGATTTTTAACTCAAGAAGATAAGTCTTCCTGATTTCAGGTCCCCACTCTATCAACCGTACCCCCTAGCTGCCCCAGATCCTATCCCTAAAAGTTGTAAAAGTAATTTGTAAATATTAAAGATCTATCACTAAAAACTGTAATACTATAACTACATTTATCACTTCATATTCCTCATTTCTCCCCTGGCTGCATTACTTTGGGACTCTCTGACTTATTCTTCACCATGCCCCAGGAAGCTCATTAAGGGGGAAACCTCAACATCCTGTTAGGATCTCATTAGTCACGGGTACTCTGCCTCATCACTGTCATCTGCCTCTCTGATGGGAAGGTGGGGCCATGAACTCCAAAACTCCACTTACAGAGAGAACTCAGTTTAGACATCTCATTTATCACCTGGCTGCATTATTTCGGGACTTCTGTGCCTGTCTTCTCCATCATATCCTCTCTCCACCACCCTCCTCCCAGCTGACTTTTGTGTACTATCTTCCCTATTCAATCAAGCTCCTTGAGGGCAGAGCCTGGCTTTTGTTTTCCATCTTTGTATCCCCAGCACTTAGCATAGTGCCTAGCACACATCAGGTGCTTAATGAATGTTTATTCACCGCTGCCTACTATAAAAGGTTTATACCTATCTGCTTCACAATCTCTAACTGCAGGTTTCATTACAGTTTCCAGGCATAGCTGCTTGACTGCATTTTAAATATGAAGATACATTCCCTGGGTACCCTGCATGGCCTATATTCTATCCTTCTCACAATAATGAACTTCCCTCCCTTTATTGCCGTATTAAAGTGTGTTAATCAAATGAGAAGTGTTAAGCGTTTTTCCGTTATGAATAATCCTTCCTGAGATGTACATGCTCAATGGGAAAATAAAAAGACAGACAAGGATCAAAGGCTGGAGAGGATCAAACAGTAACAGCAGTTTTGATTTGTGTTAATTTTGCATGTACCAAAGAAAAAATATGCCAAGTTTCCCTTTATGAAAAAAAAGTCAGAAGAATGACAGTAACACGTTGTTTGAAGGCTGAAGATCAAAGGAAGAACATTTTGCTCAGATATTGTAGGAAGGGAGAGGCCACACAAATACAATGGCACATGCTGTTTTTGTGCTGGAGACAGATGCATATTTGTCAAATGTTAGTTTTAATAGCTCAATACTTTTAAGTGCCAGTGGTGGTGGTGGGGTGAATGGAGAAGTCAGTACAACAAAAAGAGTATGGATTTGGAGGCAGAAAGACTGGGATCAAATCCTGGCTACATTATTACTTATAGCAGTGTGACCTTGGGGAAGTCATTTACTTCTCTGAACTTCAATATTCCTGGGGCTCATAATTCACGTCTACAACTCATCGTGTTCTGGTGAAAGTCGATGTCTAGTGTCGTGTTACACACAGCTAATAAATGTTCGTTGAGATGTATTCTTTTGAGATCCTCTAATTGAGAATACTTTGCAAGGTGATATAATCACAGAAGCATCTAGGATGAATTTATGCAACGTGGGCCTGGAGAGCTGACAAAATATACTCCCTTGTCTCACTCTCATTTTTGAAAACTCAAAGATGGCATCGTTTATTTTGAATTGTAAAGATCACAGCTCAGGCCCCAGTATTGGGGGGTCCTGTGTCGTTTTTGATTTGTGTTACTACATTTATTAGAATAACAATTATCATTCAATAGTAGTCACATACCTATTTTAGAAAGTGCATGATAGTTGTAACTGATGATATTTCTGCATATGAGAAACAGGAAAAGAATGAGGCCTTGGCTAATCATCACTGAATGAAGAACTATGAGCAGAGACCCAAACTTGGTGCATTTGCAATGCAAAAGAAATAGAAGTATGCTGCCTAACCTAGAGAATTTTGTAAGCTGGGGTGGGATATTTTGGGAGGTAGTGTAGACAGTTAGGTGGTACAGTGGATAGAGTGCAGGGCCTAGAGTCAGAAAGACTCATCTTTGTGAGTTCAAGTCTGAACTCTGACACTTACTAGCTATGTGACCTTGAAGCATGTCACTTAACCTTGTTTGCCTCAATTTCCTCATCTGTCAAATGAGCTGGAGAAGGAAATGGCAAATCACTCCAAGATCTTTGCCAAGAAAACCCTAAGTGGGGTCACAAAGCATAGGACATGACTGAAAAGACTGAACTAAATGGACAGATTGTCAAACAATTTCCTGAAGAACGCATCAGCAAGTTCAAACAGCTTTTGGAAAGAGAATTGGAATTAGGGATCTGGAGATCTAAGTGGTGAAGTGGAAAGGCAGCTGGATTTGTAGTCAGGGAATCTGAGTTCTGACACTAACTCTTCCCCTTACTACCTGTGAGATGTTGGGCAAATCACTTAAACTTTCTTGACCTCGATTTCCTCATCTGTAAAATGAATGGTTGTACTAGAGGAATTTGAAGGTCCCTTCCATCTCTCCACCTATGATCCCAAGATCCTGGCTTATTAGCTCACACCAGCTCTTGAGAGCAGATTGCTTGTACTGCCACAGCTAAGAATGGTTTTTACATTTTAAATTACAAAGAATCTTATTTACAAATATAAAAACCACTCATAGCTGGGTGCTGTACACAAACAGGTGGAAGGCAAAATTTGCCTTGGATCCTGATCTAGATTTAAGGAAATGATTTTAACAAAAATGTTAATAATGCACATTAAACTTTAAAATGTCTTGTATCTTTTTTTGAAGAGCTAGTTGTTAAACATTTATCAGTCTCCTGCTTATTGTCCTTGTGATCCTGATCACTTGGCAAATACTTGTTGGATCCACCTAATTAAAAGGTGTCATTTGGTTGATAGCCATGAACTCATTCCCACCATCCCTTGTCATTAGGAATTAGGATTAGGTATTGGTAAGATAGACAATGACTTAGAATACAACATTTAAGAGGACACGATAAGGATCACTTTTAAATACAACTTTTATAAAAATATATTTTTATCCGAAGAGAATTCTGTTCTTCATGGCAAATGGGTGTTTATGTTCTAATCAGTCAAGTCCGTTATGTTATAGTGAAGGTTGAGAGCTTCAGGGTGGATGGTAACAGACCTGGGCCACAGTCTTCAGAAGCAGGGGTAGAATAGACCTTGCCCAAGGTACCTAAGTACCTTCTATTGGATCGTCTTGTCAACCCTAATGCAGACAGACAGAGCCCTTGACCACCTGGTCAGACCTATACAAAAGGAAGATTGCAGATTGTAAGGTCCTAATAGACTGTGAGCTCCTTGAGGGCAGGTACTGCTTTTTGTCTCTTTTTGTATCTCTCCAGCACATAGCATGGTGCCTAGCACATAGTAGGTATTTAACAATGTTTATTGATTGACTGCTGGAAGGTAGAGTAATTTGGCAGCCATGCTCAGGATATATTGGAGGTTGGAGAATGTAATGGGTAAGGTCAGTTAGAAGAGCTTTCAATAGTTCTGGTAAGAGATAATGAAACTTGATCTGATATTGTGGTGGTGGGAATAATAATGAGAGGCATGGTTGGCCTATTGATCTATAACTAGGGTGGGAGCACAGGGTGGTGGAGGACTATGAGGCATGGGGATACTGGTCTCCACTGTGGGGAAGAAGTATGCCTTCCTGCATCTCAGTAAATGAGACAAAGCCCCAGTCCTAATTATGGAGGTAGAATTGACAAAACTATTGTAGGAAAAAAAAGTGTCCTAATATGGCACAGTGTCACAGCAAGAATCCTGGGTCTGAAGTCATTGAACCTGGATTTAAATGTCTGCTCTGAACCTTCTAGTGTTGCCTTGGGCAAGTCACCCTCTTCCCCCTTTTCTGTAAAAGGGGGATAATAATACTTAAACCCCCTAATTCCCAGGGCTATTGTGAAGAAAACACTTAGTAAACTTAAAAGCTCTAATGAAATGTGAGCTATTATTTAGTGCAAAGTGAGAATACAGGTGCTGAAAAGATACATAATAAGAGGGGAATTTGGACTAAGCTGTCACCCAAGATGTAGTTTCCAAGAGTACCTTGCAATATCTTATGCTCTTTCATAGCTGCTGCATAGCAAAGTACTATTGACTTAGTTACCTAATATAGGTATTTTAAAAATCACATTTTTCAGACAGTTAGTTCCTATGACAGCCTATGACCTTTTGGTATTTGGGAAAAATGAAACCTAGCAAGAGCTGGAGCAGCCCCGACATTTCACTCTGAGCTAGCGGTAAACCAGCTGCTTCTGATGGCTGGCTTGTCGGTTCAGTGCTTGATAGGTAATAGCTGCATGATGCTTCAGTCTCATTTGGATGTAGCAACGCTGAAGGATGATGGCATCAGCTGTCAGGGTCCTGGGGTGGAAAGAGCACTAAAGGCAAATGGATGGTCTAGGGCTGCTATGAACATTTTTTGTACATGTAGGTCCTTTTCCCTTTTTTTATGATCTCTTTGGGATATAAACTGAGGAGTAGTAGTATTACTGGATCAAAGGGTATTCACAGTTTGTTTGCCCTTTGGGAATAGTTCCAAATTGCTCTCCAGAATTATTGGATCAGTTCGCAAGTTCACCAACAATGCATTAGTGTTCCACTTTTCACAAATCCTCTCCAACATTTATCATTTTTCTTTTCTGTCATATTAGCCAATCTGATAGGTGTGACATGGTACCTCAGAGTTGTTTTAATTTTCATTTCTCTGATCAAAAGCACTTTAGAGCACTTTTTCATATACTTATAGACAGCTTTGATTTCTTCATCTGAAAACGCTGTTCATATCCTTTGACCATTTATCACTTGGGGAATGCTTGCATTCTTATAAATTCAGTTCTTTATATATTTGAGAAATGAATCCTTTATCAGAGATACTTGCTGTAAAGATTGTTGCCCAGCTTTCTGTTTTCCTTATAATCTTGGTTGCATTGGTTTTGTTTGTGCAAAAGCTTTTTAATTTAATATACTCAAAATTATCTATTTTAAATTTGTAATGCTTTCTATCTCTTCTTTGGTCATGCGCTTGGGACTCACTTAACTTTTCCTTTAAGGATTTGGATGCTGTAACACTTGGTGCATATATGTTTTGTGTTGATATTATTTCATTGTCATGGTATCTTTTTAGCAAGATGTAGTTTCTTTCCTTACATCTTTTAATTAGGTCTATTTTTGCTTTCGCATTGTTTAAGATCAGGATTGCTACCCCTGCTTTTTTTTTTTTTACTTCAGCTGAAGCATAATAGATTTTGCTCCATCCACTTACCTTTATTCTGTGTGTGTCACTCTGCTTCAAGTGTGTTTCTTGTAAACAATATATTGTAGGATTCTGGTTTTTGATCCACTCTGTTATCCACTTCCTTTTTATGGGAGAATTCATCCCATTCACATTCACAGTTATGGTTACTAACTATGTATTTCCCTTCATCCTAGTTTTCCTCTCCTTTGTCCTCTCTTTCCTTTTACCCTTTCCCTCCTCAACAGTGTTTTGCTTCTGTCTACTGCCTCTGCCTGTCTTCCTTTCCTTCTGTCACTCCTCTATTGCTTAATCTCCTCCCCTCCTACTTCCCTGTTGGGTAAGATAGATTTCTATATCCAACTGATTGTGTGTATTATTCCCTCTTTGGGACAATACTGATGAAAGTAAGGCTCAAGCGACATCCATTTTCTTACTGTCCCCTCTTGCTCTCTACTGTAACAGGTTTTTTCATGAGTCTTCATGTGAAATAATTTATTCTATTCTACCTCTCCCTTCCTTTTGCACCCAGTGTACTCCTCTTTCTCGTCCTTCAGTTATTTTTTAAATGTCTTTCCCTCAAATTCATCTTATACCATATTTTCTGCCTATGTATATTCCTTCTAGCTGTACTCTTAATGGTACAATTTTTGAGAATTACAAGTATCATCTTCCCATGTAGGGATGTAAACAATTCAGCTCCACTGAATCCCTTATGTCTTCTTTTCCATTCTCACTTTTTTAGGCTTTGGAGATCAAATTTTTGTTCAATTCTGGTCTTCTCCTTATAAATGCTTAAAATCCTTCTGTTTCATTCAATGACCATTTTTCCTTTGAAGTATTATGCTTAATTTAGCCGAGTAGGTGATTCTTGGTTGTAGTCCTAGCTCCTTTGCCTTCCAAAATATCATGTTCCATGACCTCTGATCCTTTAATGTTGCAGCTGCTATGTCCTGTGTAATCCTGATTGTGGCTCCCTAATATTTGAATTTTTTCTTTCTGGTTACTTGCAGTATTTTTTCCTTGACTTGATAGTTATGTAATTTGGCTACAATAATGTTCCTTGGAGTTTGTATTTTGGGATTTCATGACATACATTTAAGTTTAATTTGTATTATTAAAATTTTCTCCAGCATTTTCTTAAATTTAGATAGTTAACAAAACACTAAATCAAGCCCTAGTTTGTAGCATTTGCTGAAAATTTAACGATCAGGTCTCCAGAAAACTCTTGCATATATCTATACTTGTCATTGTAAGATAGATAGTGTGTGTGCGTGTGCGTGTGCGTGTGTGTGTGTGTGAGAGAGAGGGAGGTAGGGAGAGAGAGAGAGAGAGAGAGAGAGAGAGAGAGAGAGAGAGAGAGAGAGAGAGAGAAGAGAGAAAGAGAGATTCCCTCTAGTAACTGGAGCAGGAGCTTAGTCAAGTAAGCTTGACTGGACACCTCTTCTGCTTTGTATTTCTTTGCCTGATGACAGGTGACCAAACAGCAATCTCAAGATGGATGTTTTTAGGGGCAGCTAGGTGGCACGGTGGTTAGAACACCGGCCCTGAAGTCAGGAGGACTTGAATTCAAATCTGATCTCAGACCAAACACTTGACACTTACTAGCTGTGTGACCTTGGGCAAGTCACTTAGCCCCAATTGCCTAAAAAACACACACACAGAAAAAGATGGATGTTTTTAGCCACAGAGGCAGATTTGTGAGCCTGAGAAATCAGAGCATGTCATGCCTTCAGTCATATCATCTACACTACAGGAAATTCCTTCTTTATATCCATACAGTACTTGGAAAAGAAGACAACAACTTTGGGAAGATGAGCCTAAGGCATGGCCTGGCTTGATAGGATTTAAATGCCTGTTCAAATATCCTCAAAACTGCATCCTATCTTCATGTTTTAAGTACCAACCTTCTGGGTGAGTATAACAGTAGATTCATTGCTTTTGCTGCTTTTTATAGTTATTTTTTTCTGTCAATGCACTAATATGTCTTTTGTGTAGGAGAAATAAATGACTGTTCTGTACCTGATGTAGATTGAACACTGAATCTAATTTCTTCTCCCATTTTGGTGAGACTAGAGACAGCCAAGCCTTACCTTTAAGTGATTTTCCCTGGGTCTCCTATGGTAGCTGGCAGGTAAAGAGTCAAAGAGTACAATGAAGAGTCTAGCTCTCAATTTAGAGGTCAAGCTCCATAGGACTGAACCCGGTCTCCTCTATTATTATCCCCATTTTACAGATGAAGGAACTGAGGCTGAAAGAGGGCAAATGGCTTACTGAGCACTTGTGGGCCCAACAAGTAATTCAGTGATTGTTTTAGATAGATAGAGAGATAGATAGACAGACAGACTGATAAACATATATACAGTCCAACATGAAGGATTATAATTGATCAAGAGACACTAAAAAATTCACCTAGAAAAAGAGTATAACTCCATTAAAAACTACATGTAGAAACTAAAACAAAATGAATTTTCCATAAGGGCTACATGAATATACAGAAAAAATGAAGTAATCAATAAAAAATGAAGCAAAAGCCCTAGGGGAATGAATGTGAAAGACAATATATAGCTTAGTATAGAAAGCAGTAAAACTTACCCAAGTAATGAAATCCCTGAAAACCAGAAAGAGCTGAACAGAAATCAATGAATCCATGAACACAAAAAACATTAGGACAAAATCAAAAGACTGAAAAGAATAAAATAAAATCTAAGGTGTTTATTGTCAAAAACAACTAACCTGGAAAACACGTCAAAGAGAGACAATCTAAAATTCGTTGAACTCCTTGAAAACTATGATTAAAAAAAGCTTAGACGCTTTTTTTTTACAAGACATTACAAGTGAAAATTCTGTTTGAATCTTTTTATTTGAAATGTTTTTAATGTAAAAGCATATTGTTAAATTCTGGCTTCTAATCCATTTTGCCACCTTGTTCTATGAGTTTTTTCCATTTATATTAAAAGTATGATTGGTAATTGTGTATTTCCCTTTATCCTATCTTTTTCTGCATTTCACTTTCTTTGCTGCCTGTTACCCCTTTCTAATAAAGATGCAGATATCGAGAGAGGAGTATGTTCAACTCCAGTGCTCTTTATTTTACATACTTCTTTTCTGCTACTACTCTTCTCTTCCACTCATCTAATCCTCAATCACAGGTCTTGTCCTATGTTTTCTTCCTTTTATTTCCACCTTCATGATACATTGTATCCTAATGGCATATGTTTTGCTTATGAATAATACCTCCTTTAATTTATCCTCCTTCTTAATCAATTTCTCTCTTTTTCTTTCTTCTTTTTCCCCCCACCTGATTCCCTGTTGAGGCAGCTAGTGACATAGTGCTAGATCTAGTTAGGAAGACCAGAGTTCAAATCCTTCCTCAGACACTTTTAGCTGTGTGACCCTGGGCAAGTCACTTAAACTTTTTCAGCTTGTTTTCTCATCTGTTAAATGGGAGTTATAGTTGCACCGACCTCACTAAGTTGTTGTTAGGATTAAATGAAATAATATAAATAAAGCATTTATTTCTAAATAAAATAAATAATAACAAACCTTAAAGCATTGCATACATGTTAGCTAACATTACTGAGTTTAATATATTTCTCCACTAAACTCTTTGCACATATTTATGCGTATTCAATTTACCTTTGTCTGATCAGATGAAAATGACATTTTTGCATTGCCTTCTTCCCCCATCCCTTCTTCCATGTTCTTGTATACTCTGATTATGTGACAATAAGCTCTATGCCCTTCCTCCTTTTTATCTTCCCTTTTATTTTTCTCTGAAGATTATCAAAATTTAACAAAACTACTCCCATGCCATCCATCTTACTCCCTCAAAAACCCTTAAAGACATTTGGATTCTGAGGGGACCCTTGTTGGATCTCCTCCATTAGAAATATAAATACTTCATCATTGCATGCACTCAGATATGTTTACTTTTTTGTTTCTTTTGGCTTCTAGATTTTGCATTTCAAAGAATCCACTCTGGTCTCTTCATCTGGAATAACTGGAAGTCCTTTATTTCATTAAGGATCCATTTTTCCCCCCAGTAAGAATATGCTCAGCTTCAAGTTATTTTTAGTTGTAAACCTGTGTCTTTTGCCTCTCCCCTTCCCTCTTCCTCATTTCCACACCCCCTAACTTTAATTAAGTCCTCCCTCGTAAAAAAGTAAAAACACTTAAGCAGAACCAGTGACCTGTTTTTCACATCTGACAGATTAAGCAATATTACACATCCATATGCTCTGATAATAATAAAAGGAAAAAGAGGTGCATTTTCTCAATGAAAACTGGTCATTATAATTCTATGTATTTAGCCAGTTCCTAGAGTTCTAGTTCCCAGAGTAACTGGGCCTTTAGTACTGGTCCAACTCCATTTAGATTATAGATCAGAAAAGATATAAATATTTTCTTTGGGAAAGTCAGTAAAATGTAGTGGAAAGTGGGTTGGACTTAAAGTTTAGAAATAGCTAACCTGGCCAGAAGAACTCATAGATAAGCAGAGCAGCTTTGAAATGTGTGTTGAATTTATTATGTTTTTAAAATAAAAAGCAAGTTGTATGTAACACAGATTTACAATTCTTTTATAATACTCTGTTCTGATGTGTCTGTCTATCTAATTGGAAGTATTCATTTTAGTAGATGTTTGTTAAGTTCAGAATTTTTTAATGGAAAAAAAAATTGAGTAGGTAGAAATCAATACCTTTATTGAATAAACTGAATAAAAAGACTGAAAAAAATCAGAAAAATGTAAGGGTGTGGTTTGTCCTTCATTCTCAAAAGGGACCATGACATCAGGGAGATAATGACATGACTTGAAATTGGCTTTGATTTGAGTGAGGGAGGGCTGTGCAAAGCCACCAGCCTCACTTTCTCCTCCAGAGCTATCTGGGTCCAGTGGCCAGATAATGACCAGGACAACTGGAGATGGCCCAGGATGCAGTGGGAGACCTTGGCCCTTTTAAGCTAAGGTCTTTTCAGGTTCTTGTTTTGAGTGAGGCAACACCCATTCAGTGAATAGGCCTCTTTAAAAAATGAGTCAAGGGATGGCCTCATTAATAATAATAATAAAAAAATCATACTTGGAGAGGAAGACCCTCAGGGTTGCTGGCCAAAAGAGAAACAATTACTATTTACATTCACTCTGATCCTGGAGGGCCCAAAAAATAACCACTAAGTGATGTTTGGGAAGGGATCTATTATTGTCCAAACCATGAGATCAAGAGTGAATTGGATTTAAGGCTTTGTCTGAGAAAGAAATCTAGGCCATAAATCCCAAGTTAACTAGGTAGCTTTCATTAAAATTTACTTTCCTTTGGGCAGAATACCCTCAGGTAAGGGAAGAAGAAAGGAGAGGGAGGGAAGGGAGTGGAAGGGGAGGAGTTACCCGACTGGAACTGGCCAGCTGGGTCCCCATTCAGGTAGCTCAGACTACTCACAGGTTGTGGTTTGTCCTTGTTTGGAAGAGGATCATGACATCAGGGAGATAATGACATGACTTTGCAATTTACTTTGATTTGATCAAAAACAGGTTACCTGGGAAGATGGAGGAGTAAAAAGGTAGTCACTCTCACTCTCCTCTATCAACCTCTGAAAACCCAGAAAATATCACCCCAGAAAAAAAAAACACCCTGGAACAGCTGAACTAGAAGAAAGACAGGGAACAGCAGTGCGGCAGTCCGGCAAACAGGTCTCCCAGTGCCTCAGCAAAAATAAGGGAAGCAACACTGCCAAGGGCCCCAGGCAGATAAGCACCCTGCAGCATTCATCTGAAAGGAGCTGAAGAAAGTGACCTAAAGTCTTCCTAAAGTCCCAACTTTGCTGATTCCAACCCAACACCAGGTAAACTGTCAGAACCCTACAGCCTCCAACTATCAACCAGGAAGAGATCCTGAAGCCCAAGTGGTAGAGCAGGCAAACAGCAACACCTGGACCTCCAAGTGCCTTAGTGAGGGTGGGGGGAACTGGTGGAAACCAGCTCAGAAAGCCACCAGGTGCCTCGGCACTCTACTACAAAGGAATCTCCCAGTGCATTAGCAGAACAAGGGAAGCAGCATTGTAAGGGGCCCCAGGGGGACAAACACCCTGAAGCACCCATCTAAAAGAAGCTGGAGAAAGCTAAAGGAAAGGAAAAACAGGCAACCTAGAATTGCCTGAAAGTTCCAGCCTTGCTGATTCCAGCCTGACATGAGGTAAGCTGCCAAAACCCTGCAGCCTCCAATTGCCTACATAAGAGGCCCCAGCACACAAAGCCAGTGACCAAGACCTAGGCTCCCAACACAAGAAGCCTAGGCAGTGCCCTCTGTTCCCCAGCAGTAGAGCTCAATCTCTTTAAAGGCCAGGGAATAAAGACAGTATGAGTAAAAAGAAATGTACCATAGATTCATATTATGAGAAGAGTGAAGATCAAGATAGAAATTCTGAAGAGGACAGCATTGTCAACAAACCCACATCTGCAACATCAAAAAGGAAGATGAACTGGTCTGAAGCCCAAAAGCCTTCTTGGAAGAGCTCAAGAAGGATTTCAAAAGTCTAATGAGAGAGGTAGAAGAGTCCTTAAAAAATACAATTGGCCAATTGAAAAAAAAAGCACACTGAAGAAAACAAATCCCTTAAAAATACAATTGGCCAATTGGGAGAAGGAAGTACAAAAACTAACAGAAGAAAACAATCTGTTAAAAACTAGAATTGGACAAATGGAAACTAATGACTCTATGAGAGAGCAAGAATCAGTCAAACAGAAACAAAAAAATGAAAAAATGGATGAAAACATAAAATTCCTCATCGGTAAAACAACCGACCTGGAAAATTGATCCAGGAGAGACAATTTAAAAATCATTGGACTACCTGAAAATTATGATGAATAAAAGAGCCTGGACAGTATCTTTCAGGAAATCATGAAGGAAAAATGCCCTGAAGCCCTAGAACCAGAAGGTAAAATAACCATAGAAAGAATACACCGCTCACCACCTGAAGGAGATCCCAAATTGACAACACCAAGGAATATAGTAGCAAAATTCCAAAATTACCAGATGAAAGAGAAGGTGCTGCAAGCAGCCAGAAAGAAACAATTTAAATATCATGGAACCACAGTCAAAATTACACAAGACCTTGAAGCTTCTACATTAAAAGACGCAGGGCATGGAACATGATATTCTGTAAAGCAAAAGAGCTTGGATTGCAGCCAAGGATTAACTACCCTGCAAAAATGAGCATTATTTTTCAAGGGAGGAGATGGATATTCAGTGAAATAGGGGACTTCCAAACCTTCCTGATAAAAAGACCAGAGCTCAACAAAAAAATTGATCTTAAAGTACCAGATTCGAGAAAGACATAAAAAGGTAAATGAGACAGAGTACATCCCAACAAGGGAAGATGACACTTGCAACCCTTGAGAATTGTATTGTTATTATGCCATGTTAAAGGAGTATACATAAATGGGGTGGGTATTAGTTGACTTTGATGTAATGATAAAAAAAAATCTTATCAAGTGGGTTAAATGGATCCAAGTAAGTGGATTAGTCTGATCTTAGAAAATGTACTGAGAAAGGAAGAGGCAGACAAGGGTAAATTACATTACAGGAAAAGACAGAAAATCCTATTACAGCAGAGGGAAAGAAGGGAGGGGAATGAGCAATGTTTGAAGCTTACTCTCACCAGATTTGGCTCAAGAAGGGAATAACATAATCAGTTAAGTATAGAAATCTAACTTGCCCTATAGGCAGCAGGAAGGAAAAGGAGAAAGAAAAGGGAGGGGGGATAGAAGGGAGGGAAGAAGCAGTAAGGGCAAAGGGGAAGAAAAGGGAAAGGGATAATAGAAGGGAGGAGAGACTGCAGGAGGCAGTGGTCAAAAGCAAAACACTAGTGGGGGGGAGGAGAAAGGAGAAAGAAAAGCATAAACAGGGGGAAAAAGGATAGAGAAAAAGACACAAATAGTAATCATAACTGTGAATGTGAATTTTTTTTCTTCTGTTGAGTTGTGTTTCCTCTTTCTGATGGTTCCTCCTATTGGTTTTAATTTTTACTTACAACTTCACTAATGTGAAAATATATTTAATAGGAATGTAAATGTATAGCCTATATCAGATGTGTGCTTTCTGGGGGAGGGTGGTGGGGAGAAAGGGGGAGGAAAATTTTAAACTCAAAAGCATATGGAAGTGATTGTTGATAAATCAAAATAAATTAATAAAAAAAAAACAGGTTACCTGAGGGGGTTGGGGAAAGGTCAAGGAGAGATAATCTAAGAATCGTTGGACTACCTAGAATCTTGACTCTTTTTATTAGTTATGTGGCCTTAAGAAGTCACTTAATTTCTCCAAGCCTCAGTTTCATCATATGTAAATGGGGAAATAATGTCTTCTGTGTTAATTTTATAGAAAGGGAATGGTTCTCACTCAGAAGGGTCTGAGTGGTTTCCCACTCCAGTTAGAAATCATAAGCAGGGAGCCAGCAACCATACAGGAAATTGGGTGAAGAAGAGAGGGCCTAGGGGCAAAGGTGAATAGATGATGCAGTAATTAACTCAATTGGAGAGAATGATGAATGAAAAAGTCATAGAATTATATGGATTAGCCAAATTGGAAGAGGCTTCAGAGGCCATCTGACTCAATACATACCTGAGTAGGAATGTCCTCTACAGCACACCTGATAAATGTTCATCTGTCTTTTGCTTGAATCCCTCCAGTGAGGGGGCTCCCTTGACTGCCAAAGGCAGCCCAGTCCACTTTTGGAGAGCTCTAATTTATTGGGGAGTTCTCCCTTGGACCAAGCCTAAATCTGCCTCCTTGTTACTTCTCTTGATTACTCCTAGTTCTGCCTTCTAGGGTTAGGCAGGACACGTCCAATCCTTTCAAGTAACAGCCCTTCAAATACTTGGAGACAGCTGTTACATCTTCCTCTGTCTTCCCTTTTCCAGGCTAAGTATCCCCATTACTTTCAACATACTCTTTTATTGCATCAGTTTCCAGTCCTGCTGCCAGCTTGGTAACTCTAATCTGAAAGCACTTTGTCTAGCTTGCCAATATCCTTATTCAAATGTGGCACCTAGAGCTGAACTTGACACTCTAGATGTGATTTGACTAGGAAGACCACAGCAAGACTTTGACTGCCATTGTGCTTACTTTAATGTGGCTCGAGAACAGTTTTTGTCGTTGCCATGTCATACCAATGGCCCCTAAAAAGTTCGCAATCCACCCAAACCTTTCAGAAGCACAATATGCTTACCCTCACTTCCATCCAATGTTTTGGGTCATGAGTCTTCAAGC